TTTTATGACTATAAATTCCTAGACATGTTATTTATTTCTTACATTTATAACAGATAACATTATTCATGTTATCTGCAGGAAGGAACGACCATGGTTCACCTTTGGTTTATAAGAAAAATATAACATTAACATTGAGAGCCACAGTAAAAACATTGATTTTGCAAAGGACAGCAGAGAAATGCTCGGGGTTTTTTATGTTATTTTTTTTCCTGTCTCTTCACTTGAATATCCATGTTCTTGAAAAGTCTGACTCAAACAGTGACAGAAATGATGCCAGTGGTTAGTTCCTGAAGCTCTGTGGCATTTACAAGAGTCTCAGCAAGCAGAGATGAGCAGTTCCCACTAAGGGTTTTCGCTCTGGTCCTACAGCAGCAATGGGAAGTACTTACCTGTATTTTTGACTCCGGTTTGTCCTGATGCTAAAAGCCCAATGAGGACACAGGCTATGATCGCCACCAGGCAGAAGAGGACGATCAGGGTGATTTCCAGCCCACTGAACTTCCTCTTGCCCATCTAGGCCCAGAGAAACCCCATTGGTATAAGGAAAACAGAAGTAACAGCTTTGAAAACTCTATAAATTACATTACTAATTTAATAGATTAGCAAAATTTATAAATTATTCAGGTTTTAAACCATGTCCCCTAATCCCAGGGTTTAAATAACACACTCCTTAAGGACTATGTGCAATAAATCTCTTATTCAGGGTAATTCACACAGCACAGATTACTGCATTATTACACTAGTGGGCAATCACTGAGAAAGGTATTTTGTTCCCTGCAAACCACTTTACACACAAAACACAATTTTCTCCTGAGATTAACTATGGAGTTTCTTACATGTCACTGAAACTCCTGAAAAAGAAAACAAACAAAATCCCCTTCCTTTTTTTTTTCTTTTTTTTTTTTTCAAGTTTTCTTTCCTTCTTTAGAACAAACACAAACTATACTCTGTGTTATAAAGCAGGATGTTGATTTGTTAAAAGCGTACTTGACAAAAACCTCTAATGAGCTCTGATTGCATGCTCACGACACATGGAGTAAGACATAGGTAACAGGGAAAGTTACTTATTTGTAAAGTGGAAGAATATGCCATGCGTATAATCCCATGGGATTTCACAAGGGCTGCAGTTCAGTGAAAGCAGAAGAAACTGCCACAAGAGGTACGCTGGTTGCTGCTGAAATCACAACTGAAACAAGGGAGAGGATGTAGGTGGACTCAGCGCCTTAAAATGCCATGTAAAACTTGTGTTTTTCCCAGCATTGCTTTTTTTGTGAGGCACAGTGGAGCAAGGCATGCTGCGCCAAGGGGGCTGTGCTGGCTGCAGAGCCAGCTGCTCAGCCCTGTGCGAAGAACACCACCGTACCATTAACGTTGAACTGCACACCAGCAATAGAACTAATTAAAACTAATCTCCAGCATCCAGATCAATATACACTGGCAGCTGCTACTGCATTTAACATTCGGTTAAGAACATTTAACCTTATAAAACAGCCTTAAATACAGAAAAATTCGTTCTTTTCAGTCAAAGCAAGAAAGTGCGTGAATACATGTGCATTGCACTGGCATATCAAAATACGTTCACATGTTTGTATTGGGTTTAGGTGGCAAGGTGTTTGCAGCTGGAGGCTGCAGGGGCATCTTCTGTGAGAAGAGACCAGGGGCTGCCCTGTGTCAGGCAGAGCCAGTTCCAGCCGGCTCCAAAACGAACCTACCATTGGCCAAAGATGAACCCATCAGCGATGCTGGTGGCATCTGTGTGATACCACTTAAGAAAGGACAAAAAAACACTGCACAGCAGCTGTGAGAGAGAGGTGTGAGGAAAAAATGGGAGAGAAACAACCCTGCAGACACCAAGGTCAGTGAAGTATATCCTGTCACCCCACCTGCACCCCTACTCATGGAAATCTCGCAGCAACAGGAATGAACAAAGAGTAAAAGCAATACTGGCCCGTCAACAGTCCCCAGAAGAGTAAAGCTAGTGCTTAGATAACTAAGTGCTTTTCAGTATGGTGATTAATAAAGAAGCTTTCATAAATAGCATAGTGCTATTCATATTTTCTCCATTAATATAAAAATTTATAGCCATTTTTAATATTATCATTATTGTTACTCCCCCAGGGAACATTGTATTTAAAGTCTGCAGCTACACTGCGTATTGGAAAGCATACATCTTAAGGCCTGTTCTTCACTATGAGGGAATCACACTCCAGCAGTTCCTCTCCTGAGTTCCCTTTAACATTGCCTGAATACATGTCGACGAAGAGCCCTAAAAAGTAACTTTCATGAAACTGGAATTTTACTAAAATTCTTGTCATTTGTCATCAAGCTCTCCCCCGCCCCTCCCCTAAAAAACCGCCTCCAACTGTAACGTTGCATTTCAGTTCTTTCCTTCTCATGGTCTCCCCCAAGACCTGAGACTTTGGAAAAAAGGTTTTATAATTTATAAATGTAAGTTCTGTTGTGTGATGTGTACTCAGCAGTGAGGTAAAGGTCTCCAGAAACTTGGATGCAATAGAAGGAATGACATACCTTAAAGCCCCTCTGCTTCCTTCATCCGCTGCTCTTGATTGTAAAGCTCTATATCAAAACCGATGCTTTATGCTTTGCTGTTATCAGTCCATTGCATTGTTTGCTAACTGATCTACCAATGGCAGACACATACATGATTACAGACAGATTGCAGAAACTCTCTTTGGATTGAACATAGTTACTGTGATTATTGCAGCCAAGGAATGGCTGGTTAATTAATAATATTTTGGTTCAATATGATGTATGAGGTTCTGCAAATGACAGAAAAGTGGCAATAAAATGCCAATAAGCTTATCCATGTTGCATGACTAAACAGTTTTTATTCTCTTCTTTTTCCATATCTTTGTTACTAGAACCTTCATGGAACCTTCACATTCTTTGTCTATCATTTCTGCTTTAAGCACCACATGTAGTCATTAAATGTTCCCAATGAGGAAGAGCGCTATTAAAATAGTTGCAGGAGAGAACTGAATTTATGACCATTAAAACTTATTTAGGAATGAACTATAAAGTATTAATTTTAATATTAATATAAACAGATTTCATGGGATACTAACAATAAATGCCAAAAGCAGAAGAAAAAGATGAAAGACTAACATGGAAAAGAGTTTATAGGGAAGAAGTTTCAATCATAATCTTAATATGAAACCTTCATATGTAACTGGGTTTTGTCTTTTTCTCAGAACAGATAGATAGAATCTTAACATTAAATCTTTATATTTCCACGGAAAGCTTTCAATTCATACTATTAAAGTATTTACAGGTTATTTTTCAGTAATGTAGAAATGGCTGAGAAGTGCCACTTGTGTTTTTTGAACTGTTCACAAATTTATTCAATTTCCTGAACATCTCACCTCCCGCTGTGAAGTGCAGCAATTAGATGTGTCCCCTCTGAGCACAAAGGGAATGGTCCTCTTTTCCTTAGTCAGCATTTAAAAGAAAGAAAATCAATCATACATATAGAGCACTGGGCCTCTCCTGTAACCATCCGTCTTTACGCAAATCAATGCCACCACTCTCAATGACTGGTTTTGAAATGCAGCCTGTTATTTAGCTGTCTCACCCTCTCCATTTCATTGTAACATCATGCATGTCCATGTGTGCAAGTAAGCTCTGGAAATGTAATTCTAATATTCCTCTCAATATTGCTAATATGCTGCTTTATGTGTGCATATTGAGAAATAATGGTTTCACATGGATTATGAAGATATCAATGGTTTGGAAGGCCTGGGAGTTTTGTTTGATGTATATCTGTTTTCCGAGGTTTATATCTTCATTTAACTGTTCCAGGAAAGTACTCAGTCCTGCAAAGCATATGGCCATGTGTTTCATTTAAACATGTCTTTAATCACCCTGCCATCAATATAACCATTTGCTTAAGTGCTTTCCTGAATTCACATCACAGTGCTACAAACCTATATTATCAATCACCTAGTGAACATTTTCTATGCAACTTGAGAGCGTAAAAGCACTGAACAAAAAGGTCTCACAAGAGGGTTAACCAGCAGGTTTCCTAGCTAAGTATATTTTCCATTAGTCTACAAAGGATATCAAAAACAGGGCTTTCAGGTCAAGATGTGATATTGAACTCCAAGGAGCAGGAATGGGGAAGGCTCTTCAGTTGGGGACACTGAGAGACCATAAAGACAACCAAAAACTCTATTAAATCAAGAGCTGGAACAGCACGGTCACTGCTGTGTCCTGCTTTGGTTTCTAGGAATTAAAAGCTGATTCATTTCTGACAGCTGGTAAGCAGAATTACTAGAAGCCCAGGAGCATAGGCTAGACTGTAGAGAATAGTGTAGGAAAGCAAGCTAGGAAATTCGGTACTGTTAAAAATGTAGTCATTTAAAAAGAGACATTTATCTCTTAGTTTTTAACAGGTCCCTTTTTAATTAAATCACATACAACTTGAAAAACTTGTTAGCTGGTCATAGTTAGCTCCCTGGTTGTATTCATTCAGACAGTTGTGCTAATAATTGAGTTTCCAGCTAAGGGACAATGTTAGGAAAAAGAAATAGCTTATGCTTTTTCTATGCTTTCACAAGATTTGTTTTTTCACTTTTCGGTATCAAACATTTACTTTAAGTTACAGTTTGGAGCCCTTAATTCCTGCAAGAAGTGGCTTGCAGATTACCAGTTCAGTCAGGAACATAATCATTAACCATCGTGGAAGGACATCTATCACAGATCCAACGGGAGCACACTCCTGTACTCCCCACATGCAATGTTTGCATGGCTGAAACCACTCCTCAATCGCAGCTCAGCAAACTGGGAGCTCTTCAGTGCAGCTGTGGTCATATTCAAGGAAGGAAGAATGCTGAGCAGTTTTTAGAGGCAGCAGTGGGGAACCCTGTGCTCAAAGACTCATCCCTCAAGCCTGGGAAAAAGAAATCTTGATTTACCTTCTGCACATGACAAGGCAGCTGCGAACTGAGGTCTCCTCCTTCTCTGAAATACTAGATGCATCCCTTGTTCCTTCAGGAGAAGGAGATACCAGCCCTTATCACCTTTCTGTGTACTGAAGTGCAAGTGACTGTTCAGTGCAAAGAGCCATATGTCTGTGCTCCACTCCCATGTCAGCTACTCATTAACTGACTGTCAACTGCCAATCGTCATGCACTCATCATCTGCTTGCTTCATGATTTTTCCATACGGGTAATGAAGATGAAAATAGTTCTGTGAATGCTTCTAAAGTCTTTAGATGAAAGGCACTGTGTGAAAACAAGATAATGGTCTTACCAAGACACAACCTGAGACAAAACAAAGCAAAGATGGGAAAGCTTCAGTGAGAGCTGCGAGAAGATTCTGCTTTAACAACTTATATAGTTCAGATCTGAACAGATTTGCATTACTCTGGTGTGAATAGAATATTCAGGGCCTCAATGAAACATATACGTCACTGTGAGTTAAGCAAACTATGGTTTGATTAGTGACATATAGAGCGTTTTACCTAGAGAACAGAAAAGGGTCCAGCGTCTCTA